GGAGCCACGTGAAGCCGGGACGTGCTCTGTGCCAGGGATCCAGCAGCACAGGTTCCCCCAACCAAAGACTCGCCCTTTGGAAGCAAGGGGTGTTTTGCAAGGGGTTGGAAAGCACAAGGGCAAAGTGCTTCAGCTGCCTACCACCGTACACGGTAAAATCCCAGCACGTACATTGCTGCTGTTATAACATGTTACATGATGAGGAGTGGCTGCTCCTAAGTGCACAGGGCTTGCCTTGACTGAGCTCAGCCAGTTGCAGCGATTTACACAACGTGGAGGGTAGCAGCGAGATTTGCTATAACCAAGGCAGCTGAGCAAAGCTTGTGTATTGTGTTTGGCAGTTTTTGTGTACGGCAGTTTTAAAAGTAATGTCAATTACACTAACACTCCGAGCCTGCTCTTCAAAGCATGCTATTCTGAGCCTGCTCATCTCCAAAGGCTCAGGAAGAAACACACACTTCCTCCTAAAACATTGTGGAAAAGCGATAGAAAAGGTTTTCTCCAGGACCAATTGAAGGCTAACCTTAATTATGCACTGTAACCCTATCTGCGCCTTCTCATTTCAAAGCCATCTTCACAAGCACCGAACAGCCTCAGTTTGCGAACCCTGTTTTATTGAGATAACTGGTCCATTAATCCAAGGTTTACCCAGGCAGGTATGTCTGGTTCAGATGTACAGATAAAACTTCACTTTCCTAGAGAGTAGGCTTTAGAGTAGCTGCCGGAAGTGATGAATGCAAACATCAGAGGTTCTATGAAAATATAATCTTACACAGAGCATGTATGTTACATAAGCAAGGAAAGTAAATTTGAATAAAGTTTGGAGAAAAACAGATTAAAATGAGAGAAAAATGAGAGTCCTGGCTATGATATTAAGAGCACATCCCCAGAATAAACCCACTGAAATCAATGTTATAGCAAACTGATTTAGTGCCAAACTGACTTAAAACACAACATCCTTTGCCTTTGTCAGAGAGAAGCATACAGCCAATATACCTTTTCCACCTGACACTTCTTATCCCTATGCCTAACATTTCTTAGCTCCTCCAGACCCCCGTCTCTCAATCAGTGCAAAGGTAAAAGGTCTGAAGGAGGCTGCAGCATCAATACAGAAATAAAGCTGAACACAGATTGTGCATGGGACATAGCGTATCAGAGCAGCAGTCCTTCAGCTTCAGTGACAGCAATTCCAACTTCACTATCACAGAGGAGAGCTGCATATAGGAACCCAAGAACAAACCATTGCTATCAGTTCTGTCTTAGGGGGTGTCTTCTTTTGTCCTAGCTTACATGTGGTGTAGCATAGATGAAAGGTACATGACTGCCAACACCTAAAAAGCAACCCTTTGGTCCAGTCTTGCTCTTTCTCAAATATAGCCCATTGTTGCTCTGGAGAACACGTGTTTCCAGATAACAATCAGTCCTTGGCTCTCTGGTGGCAGTGAGCATATTAAATGTGACCATGATTAGTTATCTGAGCCGATCTAAGAACAAGAACAGGTTGTTTACTGTATCAGGTAACTTTTTTCTTCATGGGAAAACTGGATAGCTGTGGGCAAGGATTGAAGACTTACCCATTAGAAGCTCTGGCCATATTAACAGCCTCCTGTGTCTTCAGTGCTCTAAAACCAAACTGCTCATCTTTGAGGAGCAGAGAGAGAGATGGCACTGGCAACTACAGACCTTGAAAATTTCTCCATAAAATTGTAGCCTGGGTGCATGGCCTCTTGCCAAAATAAAACCGGTGTGGAAAAGCTGAAGCAACATACATTTGCTAAAAATTTGCAATTCAGGTACAATGGATTTCAGTATAGCAACCCCATGCTCTCTTTATGAACACACTAGAGATCATGCAACAAAGAAATTATTTCCAGGGAGGAAGAAAATCTTTGTTTCTTTTCCAAACAGATGTATTCCCCCCCACAGATCACTGATGAACTTGTTAATTGATGAACTTTCCTACTGCTGTCTGTAAGGAGAATGTCACCATAACAAATTGTCCAGTAACAGGAAGCATGTCGTGTTGTGCCAATGTGGCACAGAGCCACAGATGCACATAACAGCCTCGAACTTCCTGAACAGTGAAGCAGTGAGAAAATAAATAGTATTATTGATGCCCATTAAAGCTCGCAAAAATATAAAATCCAGCAGGAACTGGTTGGATTTCCATAGTAAAATAAAAGTTATGAGCCCAGACAATACAAAACATCTCAGCAACCATGAGAAAATGAGCAAAACACAGTATAATGCGTGCATAAATATACAGAAAGCACTTGCACTAGTATAAAAATATCCACAGTCCTCAGACAAATGTAAACTGGTACAAAATAATTCCAAGAACAGGAACATGTTTACAAAAGGACATGTTAATATAAAACAGTAAAACCAGGATCAGCTTCTCCCAGACTCATGCGCAGCACAGACACACAGGTAGTCCACGGAAGGGCCACATGGACCAAGAATGAGCAGAACCTTGACCTGTCCTAAGCCAACAGTGTGCGCGGTACATCACAGCCAGCACTCTGGAAATGCAACTGGCTGCTAGCAGAGGGTCAGAGACAGGCAATGCAAGAGCAAACATACAAAAAAACCCCATAAAATCAAAAAGAAAAACCCATCCTCAGGGATTTTAGAGCTTGTCCTTTCCCAAGTTGTCATTTATTTCCTGATCATTCAGGCACACCAGGAGCAGACATACCAGGGAACCAGTGGTGTAAGCGATGGGGTTTGTCCTACTGGTGTTGATAAGCATTTGGTGGCCCCGGCAGTGAGTGGACAACACCACACAGTGATGCTTGTGCACAGGTGATGACAAACTGTCTGCCTTGCTGAAAAAGGAGAGGGCAGGAAAGCAGGAAAAGAGGCTCAACAAGGAGAGGGGTTGAAGTACCTCAGGGAAGCAGCCAATTCCAGCTCCCCCACAAATGAAATCCTTCAGCAGATAAGCAAGCACCAAGATCCCACAGTCCCCATGGCAACAAAACCCAGAATGCCTCAGAGGTGAGTACAGCTTTGGAGAGCAAATGGGAAAAGCCAAGCTAGGAAACAGAAGCCTGAGTTTGGGAGAAAGGGAGTTTTGCCAAGCTGGTGATCTTTTCTTTAGACCTTGCGTAAAACCTTCCGGAGACTCTCTTCCCTCCCCAGGTCACTCTTCTATACTGGCAGTCCAGAATGTCCAGGAAGTTCGCCCTGCACCTGCAACACGTGCAAGTCTAGAACCAAAGTTGGTAAAACCTTCAGCTCACATCATCTAGAGGCTGCTTCTGACTCTTGAAGGCAAAGCTTCACGTTTTTGCCATCAGTGCAGATCTGTGTACTAGCACGTACAAGAAACAGATTTGAAATGCTCAGATCACAGTCTGCAGCACATACTGCAGGAATGGAGAAGCCAGGGAAGGAGCAATGCATCATTAAGGCCTTCAGGGTTTAGTTGACAGGACAAAGCAAGGTGTTTCTTTCCCATAGACCTGTCATTTCAGTCTCAGGACGCTGCATTTGGGCACTGAAAGTCAGATGCCAGGTGTCCATGCACACAACATGCGTTGCCCATTGTTTGCAGAGAAGCCCTCTTTTTTTGGCAGCTTGATTTGGACTCCTTCCAGGACACAGGCTGTTGGTCATTCTTTGAGTTCAGCAGCCAGTTACAGGTTTCCATAGTGACAAGACTTAAAAGCTTGATTAATTCTCTCCATGGTCTTCTTCCACCCAGGCCACAATTTTCCCCTCCCAACCAGGAATGATGTCATCATCATGGAATACCTACAAAAAAATATAAAAGGGAGTCCAGTCATGTCTAGAGTCTGGACACCACTCTTGTACAGTGTGAGTGGATGCATGGAGTCAGAGATCCTAGTTCAGATTTCACGAAACAGCCCAAAGAACATGTAACTCATCCATCATTCACATGTCTGAGTAATCTTTTTGGGGTTTAGGTAAACAAAAACCAAACCAAAATAAAAGATTAGGCTCCTTTAACCAGCAACCATCAAGATCATTATTGGCATGTATTTGACAGGAAAGGTAAAATAAAAGAGACAAAACAACGCCTTTTCTGATCCTGACTATAATCTTTATCTGTTTCTGTCATGACACTGACTGCTTCCAGAGAGGGTAACCCTCTGCACTTGCCTTAATCAATTTGTGAAACAGGAACTATCCCAATAACCTTTAATGAATCCAATCCTCACTGACAGAAGCCTGAGCATAAAGGGGGATATAATGCACTACACAAAGCAAAAGATGCCACAAATAGAGTTATCTCTGAAAAACCTCTAAAAGAAAGTAGGAAAATGGGTTGTTTGTTTGTTTGTTTTTGAATAAATCACATTTGCCTTAAGTATCTCTCACTGCAGCAGGTTTCATAAAGCCACTTAAAGGGCTAGAAGTATAGCCTGGCTTTTGCCCAGTGTCCCCTGAGCAATGCTGTGCCACAGGCTGTCTTTGCCAATAGCCAGCTCTGCCCAATAGGCTCTGCAACCCCCAGGCAACTGCAGTCGCATTCATGTAATTGCTCTGTCTGGGCATGAAAACATCCCACTTTAGCACCTTAATCTACAGAAATAGTCAGTTTGTTTGGGGACAAGTTCAAAGATTTGATTAGTTTAGAAGTGAGGTGACCACAGTCTCCAGGGTTGTGTGGTAACACTGAACCCAAGGTGGCCAATAGCTAAATTCCACTTACCTCCTCCTTGACTGTGCCAAACTCTGGATCCAGGGCTTTGAAATGGTACCGGTGAGTTCCTTCACGATCAATAGCTACCTTAAAATCCTTCAGAGTCACTTCCCCTAACCTGCAAGGGAAGAATTTGGCACTATCCTTTAGCTCAAGTGCAGTAACACAGCATGCAGAGCTACAGCATGCAGTGGCATCCTGGCCACTGGGATGTGAAAAGTGTGTCCTTCCAGGAACACAACTGTCAACCCTAAGGTTGTCTTCAGAGGAAGAATTGCCTCCTGATTCATACAGAACAGCCTTTTTCACTTTCTCTTTTTCATTGACAACCATACTTGTCCCGTACTACATGCCACAGTAGGACTGCTTGGCTGCTTTCTCCTGCTCTTGGAAGTTAGTAAGAGATGGACCTCTTACAGCTCTAAAACAATTGCATCAGCTAGCGGACTGCTTTAGGCAGTTTCCCCCAGACAATGGTATGAAATCCAATGCCCAAGTTAATGCACAGCAAATTTGTGCTAATTGTGACCATATCCAGAAGAGATGAGTCTTATGTGTCAAGGGAAACAAGCACCTCCCACATCCATGTCTGCAAGGCAAAGCCAGACCTCACCTCTTTGGTATATTGACCATGAAAGGTGTGAGGGAGCGGTCAGTGAAGTATAACACTTTGGTGCAGGCACTAGTGCTCATCACGGGTGTGCTGTGAGAATGAGGCAGTTCTGCAAAGAAAAGAGCACAATCATAGGGGAACAGCCTGTCTCCTGCCACAAGAGGAAACAAAAGGGGTGGCTCTGCTTTTCCCAGTACCTACCGTCTCCTACAACCTCACAGACTTTTTAGGTGACGTTTACAACCCATGTTGGAAAATACAACATTCATGACGAAAAGCAAATGTGAAACTGCTGCATCTGGAGCCGAGAAACGTGGTGTCAGAAAGGGCTGTGCTGTTATATGTATATGAAAGGAGCTAGACGCTGACGGCAGAAGAGGGGAAAAGGCAACTGTACCGTTTTCTGTGTCCACTAGATGGTGCAAACCAGCAGAAAAGCTGAAATAACATCGCATTTCCCACTCATCCCAAGGAAAATAGTTTGTCATAGTTATTTATACTGCAGTACTACTGAAGTGGCCCAAACAGACTCCCACTGTGATGGTGCTTTACAAACAAACAGCCATAGATTGCCTCTGCCCCGCTTCATTTGCAGCAAACTGTAATCTGTACAGCAAATGACTAAAGGGAGGAGAGTCAGCTCTGGTAAAGGGAGTAAGAAGCTGGAGGTGATAGACTCCCAAGGAGATACTACACCCTGGACTCTGGCCAGGAAACCTAAGCAATGAATTTGGCAGTAGGAAGGCTGGAGCACAAAGGCACTTACTGGATTTGGGAGGCCAGGAGTCTCTACACTCATTTGTTGCTCTGCTTGCTGGTGATTTCCCCCGGGTCTAGGGTGCAAAGCCAAAAGAGTGAGAACAAGGTGTCACTTCCCAGGTGGAGCTCCCATTGCCCCTTAGCTCTGGGTTGTGTGCAAGGGGAAGAAATTAAGAGCAAAGTGCCCAAGGGAGGCTTTACCCTTCTTTCTTGCCTCTTCTGTGTTTCCACACGGTACAGGCGTTCCATTAGGCTGGAGATGCCTTGCTCCAGGCTGTCAATAGTGTGATGCTGTGGATCGTGGCCGCTGAAACTGTTCCTGAGGCTGCGAAGAGCATCACGAACCAGCTGCAAGTCATTTGTCTGCCCAAGAGAACACAAGTCAGACTAACTCCAGGCTGCTCTCTT